TAAGAGGGAAAAGTGAGTTACAATGACTTAAGACTTATTAGCAATAAGTTTTGTAATTTGTCTGTTGGTCTAAGAGAATCAGTGAATCTCAGGTTCTTTGCCTTGGACACTAGCCTGGAAACTTCACAAAGACAGAGAACACATTTCCATGGTTCCTGAACCACAGTAGGTACTCCAAGTATATACAGAGATAAGGCATTAGAAAGTGGATTCTGAGAAGGCCCTACTCTCAGCCCCTGGTTCCCAGCCACAAGCCTTCCTTCCATCTAGAAGGGCCTTGGCCTTTAAATTGTTAGCAGTATGAAATGCTGGAAAATTGGGGAGTTCTCATGTCACTCTGATAGAAGAAGGTAAGCTGGTTTTCAACATTGAGATAAAAGACTTAATTTTTTTTCTTATGTCTTCCAAACAGATAGAACAGTTGAAACAAAAAGCAGATAAAAGAGTCAGAAGTGTAAGTACTTCTTTTGCAGTGATACAAATGCCTTTCTCCTTTTTTCAGGCTCTGCACTTCTGTATTGTTTTTTAACTTTCCTTTGAGTAGAAACTCAAAGCTTTTATGAAATAATATTTCTTTAATACATGTGTTAGAGTTTTATGTAATTAACTTTTGTTTTCATTTAAATAGTTTGTTCAGATTGGAGGTTTGGAAGGAATTTATCAATTCATATTGCCAGCATAGAAAAATGGTTATCATCAATATACCTTGTTAAGGACAGGGTATGGTTGCATATGGCTGTAATCCCAGCTACTTGGGAGGCAGAGATCCAGAGGATTGCTGTTTGAGGCCAGCCCAGGAAAAAACTTAGTGAGACCTCTTTTCAACAAACAAACCAGTCATGGTGATACACAACCATAATAGGTAGGAGGATCATGATCCAAACCCAGCCCTGAGTAAAAAACACAATACCCTTTCAAAAAATAAAGCAAACAAGGGCTGGGTGCATGGCTCAAGTGTTAGAACACCAGCCTAGCAATCTTGAGGCCCTGAGTTCAAATGCTAGTACTATATGTGTGTGTGTGTGTGTGTGTGTGTGTGTGTGTAGTTTAAGATGAAACCCATGCTTACAGCCACCATGACAAATACAGTGCCACTAGCCATATGTGTTTATTGTTTAAATTAATTAAAATTAAATAAAATAATATTTTCATTTCCTCATTTGCATTTGCCCTGTTATAAGTTCTCAGAAGCTCATGTGTCTAGCAGCCTCCCATTAAGAGCGCAGATGTATAACATATAGAACATTTCCTTCATTGCAAATAGATAGTTCACTTCAGTAGCCCTTCTTTGGAGTTTAATTCTTAGCAGCTGTGTACTTAGAATGAGGGGTGTGCTTAGAAAGAAAAGCATGAGAACTAGACATACAGCTCATTCCTAGAGAGGACAGAGTGGATGGAAAGTTGGGAGGGAAGGCTTGTCACTGGATACTTGCGTTCTACTCTTAAAATTTTTAATTCAAACTTAAAAGAACCCAGATATCATGGAAAATATTCATCTTGTTATTCTGGCCACTGATGACAGGTTCGCTATAAAGTAATAGAAGATTATAGTGGTGCCTTCTGTCCTTTGAATAGAGGAATCAAAACCTTCTTCACAAGCCCCTGCACTGAAGAACCTCGGATACAGCTGCAGATAGGGGAGATCATCTTAGCCACCAGAGGGTTACGGTGAGTGATAGGAAGTGCTGTTCCTTCTTTAATGACAAAACTGGTATCTTACATAAAAAAATTAAATTTAATCTTTTAAATGTTTCAGATACTGGTTGTATGGAGACAAAGTTCTTGATGATTCCTTTGTAGAAGGTATGGAAATGGAAGGGTGTGTTTAAACAACGTCACTGCTAGTAACAATTCCAGGTTTTATAAGAATAACTTTTATAAATAATCACATGCCATATGACTAAAAACTGCATAAAAGTACACGTGAGTAAACAACAAAAGGAAGTTTCTTACACATTTCTCCATAGCAGTTATATCTTTCAGGTCTTTATTATGATAGCTAACATTGGAGCTCCTAATTATGTGACAGGTACTTGTGTGTTTCACTCATGATACTGAAGTCCCCACAAACCCCTGTGATCGGTGCTATCACTTAACTTTTTATTGGTGAAGCACATGGAGGCAGAGCAACCTGCCCCCAGCCACACACTAAAAACCAAGTAGAGCCAGGTCTCAAACCTGAGCAGTCTGACTCCAGGTTCTGTGCATCACACCATTGTGCTGTATGCTCCCCCTTTGAATGAGAATTCTTCTTGTTATAAAAGCTAATAGATTGAAACTTTGTTTTAATTTTTTTTTTTTTTTTTTTTAGAATTGTTCCTTTTTAAAGGAAAGATTAGCCCAGGATATTCTTTAGAAACACTTGGAGCCAGGCTCATGCCTGTAATCCTAGCTACATGGAAGGCTGATATCTGGAGGATTACTGTTTGAGGTCAGCCCAGGCAAATACTTTACAAGACCCCATCTCAGAGCAAAATGGACTGGGGGTGTGGCTCAAGCAGTAGAGTACCTGCTTTGCAAGTGCAAAGCCCTGTGTTCAAATACCAGTCCCACCAAAAAAATTAAAAATAAAAAATACTTTGGGTTAATTATAAATTAGCCCCATATGACAGCTTAGGCAACCATGGTATATATGCCAGGCATAGTGGTATATTCTGATAATCCCAGAACTTGAGTGACTGAGATAAGAGAACCACAAAGCTGAGGACAGCCTGGGCCACATAGTGAGAACTTGTCTCAAAAAAAAAAGAAATAAAAGCGTATATTAGAAAAACTCCAAAAAGGAAAAATTCACAAGGACTGTAGGAAGCTAATTCCCTGGAATAGATAGTGTGTAGTGTGCCAAAACACTATTCCTGATGATAAGCACATACCTGAACAACCCACACTGAAAAGTCCTCCAACTCCAGTTAGGCACTATCTTGAACCACATTAGCCCCTTTCCCAGATAATGGAATTGGGGGAATATTTATTTGCTAGTTCATTAGAAACATACTTTTCTCCTCAAGCTATGTTTGAGTGAAGGGGTATTAGGAAGTCTAACTAAAACCTTATTAATTTGAAATAACAGGACTTGATCTAATATTACTGCAGTTCATCTGGCTATTTCAATTCAATTTCATTTTCTCTCTCAGGTGTTTCAAGAATAAGAGGATGGTTTCCTAGAAACTGTGTGGAAAAGTGTCCCTGTGATACTGAAACAGATCCAGCCCTAGAGGGTGAGAAGAAAAACAGATAGCTACTGTTAAAGTGAAATTATTCTTTAAATCCATTTTATTACTTGAAAATTACATATTACTAAAGAATTATGCAATGAGTCTACTCTGGTTAAGGTGTTCTTTTCCTCAAAGGTGCCCTAGTGCCATGATTTAAATATTTCTATTACCATTTTGAAATGGAGAAGCCATTCTGCATATGCCTTTGAATTCCTGCCCTTCATTACCACCTCTTCCTCCCCCAAAAGGAAAGACATTTCACCCAAGCAAATGAATGACATTTCTAGAGTTATTTTTTATGTACTACACACCATGAACCTCACCTGCAGATCTAGTTCCTCCTTTGCCAGGAGCATCTGCATGTGATAAGTTTGTTTGCTCTCCCAGTTAATATTTCTCATGTAATATTCTAGATACTGTAGAACTTAATTTGTCAGATTGAAAATAAACTCAAATTTTGTTACTTGTCTTTTAATAATGCAGATTTTTGTCAAATCAAATAAAGATCAATGGATGTTCTATATAAATAATAGTTTTTACTTAAAACATTTTTCTTTTTTGCCGAGTAAAAAGATTTAAGTAATTATGAAAAAACTGCCATGCTACTCTTTGAAAAATTAGCATCTTGAGTCCTGAGACATGACATATTCACCTCAATATATAACCCATACTGAGATTACAGCTTTCTGGGAGAATTTAAACTGAGTGATAATCAAATTGCTTTTGTGCACTTGAATATTTCCCAAAACTGAACCTTGTGCAAATGGTGAGATCCAAGCTGGTGTACTTGGATGCTTAAAGTTGGGCTTGTCTGAACAGATGAGTAGAATTATAGTAGAAAGATGAACTATTTCTCTGGACTTCAGTAAACTGGTCCAGTACTCATTCTTTCCTGGTAAGGGAATTTGAAGCTTTGGGGACCAGTCTAGTCATAGTAAAGAGTAAAGGAAGGGCATTTAGGGGGTTCAGCAGTGATGAATGAAGGGAGACTATCCTATTGCAGTGGGAGTGGGGAGGTGGACAGACAGTAAAATGTGCCAGATGAAGTCATGTGTTAAAGCAGATAAAGGTGTCTGCATTTTAGGAGGAGGAAACAGCAACAACACATAGAAACTGGAATGTGTCTGGCATGTTTGAGGAGCAGGAAGGCAGTCAGTGAAGATCAGCCCAAAAAGGAAGTGAGTGATGGGGGAAATAGGAGGGAAACTCAAAGAGGTGAGAGAGAGCTGGACCACAGAGGATTCTACTAGTTAATTCACGCCTTCTCTTTATTTCATATTCTTGAATATAGAAGTGCTTCACCCTTTCTGGTTCAAAGCTTAGAAAGATCATCCATGAATATTCTCCTTAACTCCAGTCAGATGCCAGAAAAGAGCACTAGTTAAGATTAGAGTAAAGCAAGGTTGTAAATGAGAAGAAATATGAACTAGTGCTCAGTTTGGGCTCAGCTAATAATTGTTTTACTACTCACAGCTGTGGGATAAGACTGCCTGGCTCTTCCAGTTTATTTCAGTAGTTACCAAACTTGGTTGCATGCCAGAATCAACTGGGGTCCTCTTAACAATCCCAGGCTATTTAACTGCTGGGGTAGCACCGAGGCATTGTCTTTTGTTTAACTCCTAGGGAAATTTATTGTGCAGCCAAATGTAAGAACCAATAGTTAACTTGATTTTCAAGTGGTCCTTGTTTAAGGCAGACTCTAATGACCCATGAGGTGACAAACACCACAATGTATGTATCTGTAATAGTTTATTTTACAGAATTTACATTTACAAATAGAAGCAACAAGTGCTATCTGGGGGTTTGGTACAGCAGAAAATGGAGTCCAGGGAGACATATCAGTAGGTTCCTTCACAGAAGATAAGCCTGTTGTGGGTGTCATGTTTGCCCATAGATCTTTGTTCCCAGTGCAGGAGGGTTTTATTCAGTGCTTGCTTCATTTACTGGAAAAGTTCACTGGACATAAGTTTCAGCTCCTTCCCCACAGCTTCCAGCTCAGCAGCAAACTGTAGAGAAGAAATTTTGTCACCAGATCACACTGTAGCTAACACTCTAAGAACAACATTGTCTTTGGACGTGTCATGCACCTAAGTTTTAATACTTCCAAGTCAGAAATCTAATTAAGAGTTTATGCCACCAAAAAGAGAATAATTTAGAAATGCTTAGCATGATCAAATGCTCTCCTTCTATACATAGACTTTAGTGTACCTGGAAGTCCATGAAAGAAATCTGTCTCATAAATAATGAGTGGTAGTGTGGTAGGTTAAAACTCAAAATTTTAGTGATTTGGGTGTGAATTGTAAACAGCTTTTCAGACCTTAAAGATCTTTTTATGACATTAAAGGACCTACATAAGTAGTAGGTCTGCTGGCAAGCTAGGTTTTACTGTAAAACAAGGAAAAAGCATCACAATGGATACTTTTGACCCTTGAAATAATTACTAATAAAAATGGCATTATGGTTAAAGATCATGAGGGACGGAACACAACGTCCACTGTGAAGAAAGGGTTGATAACAGTAGCCCTAAAACCTTAATATCAGCAACATCTTAAGATGGGAAGAGCAGGATTTATTTATTTCCAGACTAAATTTTCACCTTAAAATTCTCTCAGTTTAAAAAAAAAACATGATGGTTAGATAGTTCAGTAGGTAAAGCAATAGGTAGGAGGAAAGTCAACATGAATGGAAGAATAGTTTTCAATCCATATTCTCACAAGGCACATAGAGAGGGCAAACGGGCTGCTCTGAGCCCCTTCAGCCATAAATACCTTAACCTACTCCTGGATACTCTCATACAGGCTGCCAATTTGGATCTGAAAGAATTTGGAGAGCTCTCCTCTTTTTGCTTTCAATGTTGGCGTCAAGAGCCCATTTTCAATCGAGAACGGTTCTGGATGAAGAAAGATGCTTTTAACCTAGAAAATGAGATAAACATGAATGTATTTATTAGTGATTTGGACTTTTCAGCACAGCTCTCTACGTGCTCTATGAAGACCTTCAAAGCATATTTCACCTTAGAGAAGTGAGGTTGATGCATGGGAGAGTAAACCAGCAATCTCTGCCCATTTTTATGTACTTGCAATTTGGGATAGAAATGAGTAGGGAGAATGGATAAGGAACCACAAAAAGTCACTGCCATTTGCAGCTAAAGGTATAAAATCTGAAATTTCTTTAGAAATTATATGTTTAAACCCATTATAAATGGGAGCTTTAAAATTTTTAGTGTGACTTGACAGACCAGGTACATACCTGTTCAAAGGATTTTAGGCCACCTTCTTTCCCAATTTTCTGCAAGTCTTCTAAAATGGCTTCCTTTACAGTCTAATAATACAAAACATTGCTTAAATCAAGTCTGAAAGTGAAAAGCTAAGCATGAACTAACTCAAACATACCTATAAAATCAGTATATAAAAGTATGTACAGCATTAAAGGGTTTTTCTCTGGATGACTTTTTTAAGCAGGGCTGGATATTGAACACAAAGCCTCATGCTTGTTAGGGAAGCACTCTACCACTTATGCCATGCCCCAGTTTTTTGGCTTTTAGTTTGTTTTTTTAGGTACAACCTCATGCTTTTTGTTCAGGCCAGCCTTGGACCATGATCCTCCTACCTCTACCTTCTGAGTAGCTGGGATTACAGACACGTACCATCATGCCCAGATTTTCTACTCTCTTTCATCCTGTTTTTTCCCACAAGGAATATATTTCTACAAAAAGAATAGAGTTTAGTTTTGTGTTTTAAACTCCCCATTCTATCCACAGTCTGATAAAACCACTAAGTCTTATCTTTCACAGAAACGGGAGGGGTCTGTTCCTCCAGAGAAGGAAGATCCAGAAACCCAGAGTTACTACACCTGGTAGGGCCTTCTCTCTGCCACAGTGGGCCATGGTGCACATTAAGCTTTCCTAAGGGATACTTACTTGGTTTTGGCACAGTTCTTCAAAGGAACCCTTAACCCCAAGCTTGCCAGCAAATGAGGGAAGCACTTCTGGATCAGGAACCACCACTCCTACTAAGGATGACTGTGGAAAGAAAACAGAGGTGCAAGGGCATGAGAGGGAGAACATAGGGATGTTCCCCAGTGGGTAAAGAGCAGGATTATGTCATAATAGATCTGTGCCCCAAACTTCAAATCCAGCACTAGTGTCCTGCTCTCTCACCATATATCATCTCACTCAACATCTCATTACAAAGACATCTGTCCAAATTTTATTCTTCAGAGAGAGGTGGTAGTAACTAAGTTTAAAGAATCTCTAGCTTGTCCTTGTCAACACTTCCCTCCACCCTCCTACCAAAAACAGAAAAGAAAAGCCAAGTTTAAGTGCAGCATGTATAAGACAGTTTGTTGTACCAGAGGAGCTCCTACCAGAATGGAAACTAAGTGCAGTGTAGGATAAAAGCTACATTTTAGTATGGCTGTTTTAATAATTCTACTGACTTGTTTACAAAGTCCAGTATAGTTACAAAAAATTGTTTTGCATGGATGTTGCCTTATTTGAGATATGGAATGTAGCTTCATTTCTTTTGGCTTATAAGCTAGGATCTTCTCATCCTGAATCCACCTGGACAAATTTCTTTTGTCTGCAGGAACCATCACAGTCTATACCTAAAAATGTCTGTTGTTAAAACAGTGTATTACCTGTAAGCTCTCCCCATGTACAAAAACTTGTGACACTGGTCTACTTCTGATATAGATGTTTTCTATCTTCTCTGGAGCAATGTATTCTCCTTGTGCCAGTTTGAAAATGTTCTTTTTCCGGTCAATGATCTTCAGAGTTCCATTCTGTATGGGGCAGATAAAAACATCAGTTTTGAACCCTAGGAGTGGTGTCAGTGGGAAGGTGGGGATGTCACAGGTATCATCTTTATTTAAAGCTGGTTTCTCTAGAGACTTTTGAGAGTCTTTCTTGGGTGTGGGGAAAGGAGAAGTGGCTTCCAGCAAGAGCTGATCTATACTGTATGTCTGTGGAAAGCCAGTGGGCAGCCTCAGAGAAAGTACCCAGGACCTCCTTTGGGGTTATGCAAGTAAAGGGTTGTCTCATCCAATAAAGAAACTTTGCAGCTTTCAGTTTCCAATAACTTAATTTTCAATTACTCCTCTCCGCAACTCTCAGCAATAGGAAAGGAGTTATATTTTTACTAAGACTTTAATTAGTTAGCTCTCCCCCTACTTGGCTCCCTGTGTGTTTCCTTCCTATTAGATCCAGAAGCAGGCCAAAACAGCTCCACAGTACAAATCAAGCAAGTCATAATTGGGTTTGTTGGGACAGAAGCAGGACTGAGGAGGGCTCTCTGACCAGACAGCCACCAGAGGTCATTTGTAGCTTTATCTCTCTGAGCTTCGTTTCTCTGAGGAGCTTATGTTCTTAAGGATTTGAGCTGTAGAACTGGAATAAGTGGCAAGCACAATCTACATGAGTACACCTAGGTAAGGCAATAGATTGAAACAACCTGGAACCGCCACCCAGGCTGACTCATCAATTCAGCATAACATTAGCTGAAATGATTAATAAGGAGTAGACTTAAATAACCCTGTAAGGGGCATATCTGTTGCCTACATCTGGTACTATTGCAGCAGGAACATATGTTAACAAGATACTGTGAGACCCAAACCTATGCACTACATCATTTAGGACCATGTTCTTAAGGGTTTCATTGTCAAACATTCTCTGAATATCACTTAAATTTTGAATATTGATCAATAAAGGAGTTTTAAAACTAGTTACATTCTCAACCACCCATCCCCACCCCTTTGCACATAGCAGATAAAGAAAAGTTTTGAGAAAGAGGATCCTTTGGAAAATCCTCTGTGAGGGTTTAAATGCTCCTTGCTACTATCCTGCAGTTTCCTCTCAGAAAAACGGGTGTGATTAACAGAAACTACTGCTAATTGTTTGTCAGCAAAACAAGCTATGAAAAGGTCTTGGATTGATTGTGGTGGTGCACACTTGTGGTGCACTTAGGAGGTAGAGGCAGGAGGATTGCAAGTCTGAAGCCAGCCTGGGCTACACAACAAAAGCCTGTCTTTAAAAAAAAAAAGGTCTTTGTGTCTTCCATGGAGAGAGGCTGTAAAGATCATTGAGAGACAAACACTAGCTTCTGGAAACACCTGGTTTGGAATCCTGCTTGTTTTGCTATGTCTTTGTGAATTAAGTGGGAAGAAACGACCCTTTGGAACACACAATAGGTAAAAGTTGAGGGCACATGGAGTTATCAAACTACAATTTCTACCTCAAAAAAGCAAAACACACACACATACATATACATACATCCCTATTCCTTTCCTGGAGAAGTCACCTAATTTTTCCCTTGACCATGAGCAGAGTTAGCCATGCTACCTCTGAGGCCCAAGGACTATCTGACCTGTTAAAGAATCCCATCTTCAGATTGTGTCTGGAAACTGTCAGCACCATTGGATATTGCAGGCATTGATAAGAAACACAGAAGAAAAATCCTTCAGCTGCTGTATGTCTTGGTGTTTTCTATAACATTATGGTCAAAGTAGTAAACATACTTTGGCCTAGAGGAAGAAACTCTAGATTTGAGAGCTCCAAATCACGTATTAGCCTACTTTCTTGGGATTTCACATTGTTGGTCCATGGGAGAGCTGTAACTAGAACACAAATCTCCCAATTCCCTACCTAGAGTCTTCCAATTATTATTCTTTATAGTCAGAGGAAGCCACAAGCCAGAGAAGATACAGACCTATTCCCCTCCAGCTACCTCAGATAATTAACCTATTTGCATTTCTACCCATCTTGCAATAGGCAGAGTGTTCTCCTCAGTCCAGTAGCATAGACTCCCAGAATTGATGAAGAAATACTCACTGGAAGCCAGCGGCCAATGTCCCCAGTGTGAAGCCAGCCATCCTTGTCCAGGGCTTCCTGTGTCTTCTCGGGGTCTTTTAGGTATCCTTGGAACACATTAGTGCCCTTGATGCAGATCTGTATACCAGACAATACAAGGTGGTGACAGTAACAAAGGCTGCTACTCCTACCATGGGTACCTTGTGGAAAATGATGCTAACTTAATCATTTGATGATTTCCACTACAATGTGAAGAACACCACATCTCAGTCCCCACTATAAGGAGAAGGAAAATGAAACTCAAGAGATAATTTAATTCCTTGCTAAAGATATAAAAGGACTCAAACCCAAGCCAACCCCCAGTTGTGTATTAAGAATGGCTAATGTGTGATCTAAAACTCTCCACCATGATTATCTGATTACAGCCCAGGACCTATGTACCTCTCCTTCATTGTTTACTGCAAAGTAGTTCATGTCAGCCACATCTTCCAGCTTCACATAGTTGCAAGCCACGGGGGCCCCAACATGACCTAAAACACACCACACTAAGTCAGCTGGGAAACAATAAAACCGATAATTACAGGCACATTTCTGAGATATTTATGGGTTGACTCTTAAAAAATACAACTGAAAAATAATCTGATACAATGGTAGATCACTGAGATAAGCAAGCTTAGATGCAAAACTTGAGTTTGATATCTGCTACACTCATTGGAGCACTGAAATTATCTAAACTCCTGTGTCCTAGTTCAGTAGAACCTGTCACCCAACACCGTACCAACTGCCTACCTGTCGTCCAGTCCCCAGGTGATGTAATTGTACAGCCAGCTGTGCATTCTGTTTGACCATAAGCTTCAAATACCTGGGAAACCAAGGAAAACTTTGAAACTTAAGATTAAGTATGAACTGCTGTGCCCTATGGCCAAGATATGAGGAAAGCCAGTTCTCTAAAGGTTGGAGGAGACTTAGTTTTTAAAACTTTGAATCCATGCCTTAACTTCTAAATCTTTACTATTCATTCAAAACCAAAAAGTGTTCAGAAATAGATCAAGGTATAGAAACCTACATGGAAAATGTGGCATTTCAGGTAGGTGGAAAAGTACAAATTATTTTTTAATCTGCGACCCAATGGCAATTGAATGTGAACCTGGGCAAGGAGTACCTTTGAAGGAACTAAAGAAATGGGTAAGAAGTTTTTAAGGAAAATAGTTCATGCTTTAATAAAGAACTGAGGTTGGCACAGGGCAAGACAGTAAATATTTCAGCTTTGTGAGCCATCTGGTCTCTCTCCACAGTTTAACTCTGCCAATGTAGCATGAAAGCAGCCACAGACCATCTATAAATGAATGGGTATGGTGGTGGTCCAATAAAATTTCATTTATAAAGCAGGCAGGAAGCCAGATTTGGCCTTTACTGCAGTTCACTAACCCCTGGTATAGAAGGTAACTGACTGGAGAGAGGCAAGCAGCAGAAAGCAAGTTGATAGGCTACTGCATTGGTAGGTATGGCCTGTGGTAGGCAGAGTTGACAGAGATAAAGAGAAAGGCTTTAAAAAGACATTTCTGGGAGGGAGATGGAAGCAGCCCTTCATGATCTATTGGTCATAGGGGCTGGAGAAAAGGAAAGTATTAAGAATAGCCAAAAGGGTGGTAGTTTGAGAACCCAGAGGACCTCTGGCTGGCCTATTAATTTGGAATCTTTTTTTATTATGGGTGTATAAATGGGGGATAGAATCTGTAAGGATAAGCCTGTGCCTATTTTCTATTTTGTTCATGCTGTGTATAGTTGATTGAATGAGGAAACTAGTTATCCATTTGGAGGAGGGGGGAGAAAATGAGATTATATATGTGCCCAGGCTCTATATACATTTCATATTGAGCAGAGATATAAATGGAAAAAAATTTAAACCATAACATTACCAGAAAATATGGGTAAAAACAATCTTACCAAATATTGGGGATTAGAAAGTCCTATCTAAGCAATTCAAAAAAATTAGTCAGTTTGACTGCATAAACATTTGGAAGTTTTATATAATTATATACAAGACAAAAAAAGATGAGACTGGGAAAAAGGTTAATATAAAAAAGATTAGTCTTATTACTATATAAAGAACTCTTAGAAAGCAATAAGAAAGAAAACGAAATCACTTTGCCAATTCTGTCAGGAAGTAACACAGTAATTCATGGAGGAAAAACAAGTGTCCATAAACAGTGGAAAAATGTTCAATATTATGCAAGAAACACTACAATAAGGTTTTTAATTTAGAGGTAACTTACTGGCTAAAGTTTAAATAACTGACAAAGCGTGTGGGTAAATGAGGCTTCATGAATTATTTGCAGCAATGCATACAAAGGAAAAATTTTTCTGGAAGAAAAGTTTGGTAATTAACATGTAATATATATGTATATGCATACACTCTTTGATCCTCCTTTCACGAATTTATTCTAAATTGATAACTACATCAGTACTATAGGATACTACACAAGTGTCCTTATTGATTCATCAATTTTAATAGTGAAAAAACGGTAACCAATTCACTTATCTATTGTTGACTCATTATTTGAGTACATTCAATAAATTCCTATGAAACCATTAAAATGGTATGTGACAAGGAGCAGTGTTGATGGGGTGCTGTTAAATGGATACATGTATACTTTAGAACACTCCATTTATGTAAAGATTTGCATACACAGATGAAGAAAAAGGTGACTAATATTTTCTTTTGGCTTCGAGATTGGGGTAACTTCCCCTTTGATAGTTTTCAGTTGTGTTTATTTTTTTCAGTTGCATTTCCATTTTTATTTAAATAATGAGCCCTACATATGCAAAAGTAAAATCTTACCGAACATCCCAGGGCTGCCCGGAGAAATGTCAAGACCTGGGTGGAGATGGGAGCAGCTCCAGTAATCATGACACGAATCTTTCCACCCAGGTTGTCCTGTGCAGTAAAAACAAAACAACTGATGAAACTTTTTCTTGTGATTTCTTCCACTGTCCAATGGTTATAATAGCCTACCCAGTATTGTTATAAGAATTAAACTAGTTAATTTACAAACATCTATAATGGGCCTGGCACTGTGGAAAAGCATTTAAAATGTTAGTTATTGCTGTCATCACCATCAATAGCTGGGACCAGAAATTGATTGCTCTTCATCTTTTTTTTTTTTTTTTTTTTTTTGGTGATACCAAGGCTTAAACCCAGGGCCTTGTGCTTGCTAGGAAAGCACTCTGCCACTTGAGCCATGCTTCCAGCCCTCAGAACTTGCATTTTTAAAATTTATCAAATAATATTTATTACTTATAATCTCAGAATGATAGAGAGTGCAAGTTCCTACATAAAATCTGTTTCATGCTTTTTGACCAGTTCTCTTTAGTGACAAAGTACTACAAGAAGCATCTTAGAAGGTGAGTGGACACATGGAGTCTTGAAGGATCTCCAGTTAGAGTCATGCTTAAACATGAGAGAAAGAACAAAGGATCTGGGTCAGAGGGTAGCCCTGGTGTCTGCCTGGCTCTCCCTAGGACCCACACAACCTACCTGGATCTTTGAAAATATGAACTTGTCCCACAAACTGTCACGCCTGATGATACCATTTTTTACTTCATTGAATTTACTGGCAATAGCCAAGTTCAACAAGAACTTCTTGAAGGGTGTCTTGGCTTCATTTTGTACCTGCAAGGTGATAGCTCCTCTTAGTTGGGAACCTAGTGAAGATACTTATCAAGGCTACTAGTTAGTAAGCAAAAGATGGTATCTTCTAGTTTCATAAGGGAGTACCCCATGATCATGAATTGGGTTGTTGAATAGTGTTGACAACTTTGGCCCTACTCAGAAAGAAGTAACTTAGTATATGCATACAGAGTTCCAACTCTCCCAGATTTCTGGTCCTTGGAAAACAATTTTGACAACTAAAATAAGCGAAAGATGATCAAGAATGATAAGGTCACTGGGCTTAAAAAAAGATTAAGAAATAACTTAATTAGCATCACCCCATGAATTTTTTATTTAGTAGGGCAAAGATGGGCTAAGGAATCTGACTTTTAAAAATAAGTACTGCCTGAGGGGCTCCCCAAGTCTCTGAGTTGAGCTCTTCCTCAGGTCAGTAATCTTATTCAGAGAAAAGGGGATTTTGCTTATTATTGTGTGTTGGCAGCAGTCATAATGTGACTTTAAGCAGGTAGTTGTAAGGGGGCTAGAGATGGAGATGGAGCTAATTTCTTGGCAGGATACACTCCCTCAGAGTCTTAGCACAGGTCTAGATCCAGAGCATTCCTCTGGAAGCAAGGTTGATACCTTATCATAGATTCTGTTAAGGAGTCGAGGCACTGTGGGAAACACTGTGGGTTTCAAAGTCTTCATGTCATCAGGAAGCAACCGGATATCTCCTTGGAAGAACCCAACTCTGGCTCCACAGGAGTACATAACACCCTGAAATGAGACCGAAGAAGAGTCTCAGAGCTATGGGAGCACTGCAGGTGGGGCCTGACTTAGATGGAACTATGGAAATGAGTTGAGGTTTATGGGCACATTTCTCGGTACAACATCCTCCCATTCAGGTACCTGGGACTCTGAGAGTTTCACACAAGAAAGGATGGAGAGTGGCAGGACAGATGAGATATATCTTGAGACTGAGTAGAGAAAGGCTCTGCAGTAAATCAGGAGTGCTGACAGAATTAGGGCTCAACAGAGCCAACTCATGGCCTATCACTGACACAGTAGGGAAATGACTAAAAATGCTGCATTGCTGAAATGTGGGACTAGCAAGGTAGAACCCCCCCCCTTTTCATATACTTGCTAGGAATACAGGATACTCACCTGTACAACCCTCTCAAACATATGAGCCAGGGGGAGGTAGGATATGGTCACATCTTCAGTACTGGGATGGAAAGTATGCTATCGATCAAAAAACAAAGAGGACACAATGGTGGATCAATGCAACTTTCTTCTCCAATGAATATTTTAAAAACTAACCCTGCGTGGGTCTGCCACATATGGCATATTGTAGAACTCTTATGAGTTGCTTTGAACTTCATGGAGTGTAAAGATTCACAGTGATCCTGTAAAAGACTGAGACTTGAAATGTATAGTCCTGAAGACAAAGACTATACCATTACTTAGGGCTTTACTCTGTTTTTCTTTCTTTCCTCCCTCTGCCTCCTTTACTTCAAGAATTAAAAATCTTATAACTGATTCACTAACCTCCAGAGTTTTGAGAAAAGCAGCAGTATTTGAAACAACATTCTGATGGGTTATCATAGCTCCTTTGGGGTTACCTGTAGGAAATACAAAATGGAAAGAAAGTTCTTTTATGTGGTTAATTGGTAACCTCTGGCCTTCAAAGAAGTGAGATTCAATTGGTTCTGTTCCAGAGAGCAGGCATTTTTCCTGTCACTGTGTCTTTTTGTGGATTATATGCCTCAGTTCAGTAATAATTAATGCCCCAGGGATTCTACCACTCAATGAATCCTTAACCTTCTACAGCCAATCAGAACACAGCCACAAACTCAGATAGCAGCACATTTAAAAAGAAAAATTCACAAACAAAATTGTGCTATTCACATGTTTTAGATTTCAGAGTTTACAATATTACTTAGTAATATTGCTATAAACCTTACAAACCATCTATACTGGAATGACTGTAACTATGGACCATGATGTATCACATTAAAAATGATTAAACCTGTACTAGATAAGCAGATGTAGGTTTAGGGCACTGCAAGCTGTGGAGAACCATCACTGAGCTACCTCGATTGGATGAAATTAACTCAGGGGTATCTAATTGAGAGTCGTAGGTTGGCAGGAGGAAGTGACTTTCTGACATCATCTTTAAGACCTCTGAAATCCATAACATGTAAACACCTCCCTGCATATTCCATGAAGTCTGTTTATATTTACTTATGCTTGTGTTTTTCTGTATGGGAATCCACACCCAAAAGCCTTAGATTGCAAACTGAGGATAGGGCTCATGACAAAGTGTGTGCACCAGTGAGTGCACTCAAGTCATGATTCTGGCTGCATGGGGCTCTAACAGGACCTCATGGGCACTGACCTGTGGTTCCACTGGTGAAACAGATGATGCTCAGGTCTTCCGGGTTTGGAGGCTAGAGGAAAAAGCACAAGGCTTTAGTCTACTATGATCTTTGAGAGTAGACAATGGCAAGACTCAAATTCAGGCAGAAGAAAACTTACCACAGGTTTTCTGAAGTTCTCTTTGCCTAGAGTCTACGTGAGTTGGAAACCAAGAAAGAAAGATAACAATTGAGATGGACATACTTATGAAAATACAGCCCTTTCTTTCCTATTTCCATGAGGACACTCTATGGAACCAAAATTCCAACTTGGATCACAACCAGAAGCTGATATTCAGGCACAATGGAAGCCTCAGGGAAGAAAATAAAGTTTATCTAGAACATTAACCTACACTAGGCAGATCCCAAATTTCTAAAATTCCCCTCATCCTCTTAAGATTCAGTCATCTAGTAACATAACTAAATCTTCTTTGAATAATATGAATAGTTAACATGTCAGGTCCTACAACATACCAGTTGCTTTCCTGAGCAATGTACACTCTAGCTCATTTAACTCTTCACAGCACTTTTATGAGATAGGGAAAGAGAGATGTGGAGTAAATTGCCCAATGTCACCTTACAAACAGATGTGATGATGGAACATGAACCCAGGTAGCCTGCTTCAAGAAGCCACATAACTGAACTCTGTTCATAATTCTCTTCTTAGAAGTACATGCAACTGCCAAAGAACTTTTTCCACCCTGGCCTGAACTTCTGAGTTGTCTTGAAGAAAACCTTCTCAAAGCTTCTTAGCATTAGTCTGACTTGCTCCTTACATACCATCCATGGGCAGCAACTAGCCCTGTGCTTTTGTGCAAATATCCTGCAATTTGTTCATCCTATCAGTTGTATTGTTCTTCAAACTGCAAACGGAGTTTCAGACTCATACCTCAGCATCAACCAAGGATAAGACCTCAACTCCACACTTCTCTCCTCTTTGCTTCAGGTCATCATCAAAAGGGTCCATGAGGATGACCATCTTCAGGCCTGGGGTGAGGCCCTTTTCCACATTTTCTATCAGCACTGATGCCTTTTGGAATGTATCACAGATGACTGCAGGAATATCAGCTGAAAGCAGAAATAGAGATAAGAGGTCACCATACTGCTCCGCTAAGTATCTGATTATGCACTGCAAAGGGAAAGAGATTTTTTTTTAATTCAAAGTGATGTGTCCCCAAAGGAGATTACAGCTGAAAATGAGATTTATAGTATACAACATGAAACATTCCATTGATAATATATGAGCTTGTTGAAACAGAAGCACATAGATTTTACATGCTGTCAACACATTTTTACACTTTCTATAGGAACCATGAAATTCCTTCTGCTTATAAGGGAAGTCATTCAGAAAACTTATATGAATCACTGAGGTGGTGGTCCTGTCAACATATTTTATTCTGAGGAGGGGAGTTGGGAGTAGTAGAGAAAGGAGAGGCAAATGGAATTTGTAGTAGGTAAGCATTTTATGATTCCAAATGTTGACATTTTCTCTGACACTTGTTTGCACAAATATCACATCTCTTTTTTAAACGAATCTACACAATCTACTAGTTCAGTAACAAAGAGTAACATCTTAGATATAAGAAATGTCTGTTGTTTATCCATTGAACTCAGTCATGCTTTTTAACAGCAGCAATTTTTTTCTACAAATTCACCATGGATGCTGATGCATGTTGGGCAATTGTACTGACCTGAATTTACAAAGATAGAACATTTACTCCATAGTTCCATGTTAGGTGATTAAGCTTACTGTATAGGCATTTATCTAATATTATAAGTTTAAAGTAAGTCTTATCTGTAAGCTATATTTCCATGCTATGTCAGCTTGAAGCATTTCATGGAAACTTTTATCTAAGTATATTTTTGCCTCATGAAATATTTTTTGTAATTTCCCTGTGAATTATATCCTAATTAGTATAAGACCTGAAAAATGAAAGCACTATTTTCTGGCCAAAGGCATTTTGTCTTGAGTCTGCTAAAAGAAAAGCAGATGTTGAGGAATTACTCAGCGTTAAGAAGGAATCAGGTTGTAAAATAATAGCAAAGCTTTACCCTTATTGACAATATATATGATGGCTTCTGCTCCCAAGGTGTCATACAGGGGGACAGCTACCATGGAGTATGTGTAACAAGCCAACTCGGAGATGACCCACTGTAGGAAGACAAGGTGACAAAAGTCCTGGAGGATGACTTTGAACAGAATTAATTCAGTCAAAAACGCTTATTTGTTACATTTATATAAAAAAATTATTGTGTGTCTGGTCATAGGGTCTGTCACTGGTAGTGCTATCAGGAATGGTCAAATGAGTGACACAAGATAGGCACAGAGATAACCACAACACAAAGGTAGACCAGTATACAAAGGTAGAGTATTTCAGTTCCATTCACAAGAGGAGTGGGAAGCATTAGGGAACTGTCAGGAGCTGGAGATCAAGGGACAAGATATTCTGGAACTGTTTTGAAGAAGTGAGGGAAATTGGGCAGTACTTCAGAGGATTTGGTTATGGAGATGGAGAAGGCATTCAGAAAAGGAAATTCACAAACATGAGAACAAGATATACCATGTCTATACACTCATAATCATGTTGAGAGACAGGAAGTAAAATGGGAAAGGTAGGTTGGAATCTGCTAGTGGTGGACCTAAAATGTCAGTTAAGGCATATAGATTGAACTGTATTCCTTCCCCCTCCTCAAAATTCATGATGAAACTGTAAACTCCAATAAGACTATATTTGAAATAGGGTCTTTAGAATTTAGTAGGGCTAAACATGTCAGAGGAGTGGAGCCCTATAGACCTGGTGTTCTTGTGAGAAGAACCAAGGATGCATATGCACAGAGAAGTGACCATGTGAGGTCATAATAAGAAAGTAGACACCCGCAAGTCAAGGAGAAAAGCCTCAGGAGAAACCAAACCTGCTGACACCATAACTTGTGTGTTTTATTATGGCATCTCTAGCAGGCTTGCTGTTAACTTCCTAAACCACAGTCTTATTGAAGCTGCGTATAGTAAAAATGGAGTACACAGATTCACCTGACAATGCAGCCAGTGCCTTTTGACATTAACCTAAAAATCTCACTAAAGCAACAGACTCTCTTGAGTGTACTGACCATACATAGATTTTCCCTGAGGATATAAGGCTTAATGACTGCTAGAACTTGGAAATAAGCTTAATTCCAATCACTTTAATGTGTAACATCTACTTCCAGCTCTCTGTGGAAAGATGGCAATGGCCAGATCACAATAGCAACCAGTGCTTTGGTTTACCAGTTTAATTATCACATGCAAGTACAAGTTTTAATACTAACTCATCCCTTTCTACAATACTTTCGATATTTTATCTGGACATCTCTCTTAATGTCCTTATTTTCCCCATATAATAATCAGACTGACTTAAAATGATCCATGCTAGGTTAGGAAATACAAGTCCAAGCACTCAGACTATATCAGTAGGCATTCATCTAGGAGTTAAGGAGGCTCTGAGTCCTAACTCTTTCAATAAGCAGTATGAAATCTTTAAGTAGCTTTGGTAAGTCATCAGCAAGTGTCAGAATGCTAGATTTGGGTGGGTTTCGTTTTCTTTAGTTACTCCAACATGGTTACCTCTGGCCTATTCTGAGCGAAAATGCCAACAAATTGGTCTGGTGATGGCTTATATCCTTTATGTAAGAGACAGGAGCCCAGGTACTCTGCTCGATCAGACACCTATGAGAGAGAAAGATTGATAGAGATGGGGCGGGGGTGGAGGGGGGAGAGAGAGAAAATGAGAATCAAAAAGAGAACAAATTAGTTCAAGATACTACATTATAAACGAATCTTTCTAAAATCATTGACCTGAGTTACCTGTTTGTAGGACAGCCATCTATAGGGCTGGTTTGGTTTTCTGTATCCCAAGCAGGGGCCATTGTCTAAAAACATAACATTAAAAGAAAATCAACTCCAATTCCAAATCCTTTGGACCAGAGAAGATAAAGGAGATCCAGAAAAGACTAAGACACAAAGGATAAATTCAGCTTGTCTTGGGATCTTGAAGGCAGAATCCTATAAAGTATACTTGAAACATTTACAAAATGTTACAAAACAGGGTGGCTCACTATTGAATCTATGACCTCATGGTAATGTGGGCATTCAGAGAAAGCCATCAATATGGACTAGTCACATAACATGAACAAGTAAATGCCACCTTCAAGTAAACACAAACAGCTTTATTAAATAATCTTGGGTTGAACACTTCTCTATAATAAAACAAATGTACACATAAAAATATAGAAAAAAGTCAAAATATGAATCATCACTCTCAACGCACAAACACCATTATTAACACTATTTCCTCCCATAGTTCCTTTACATGGTTTTCCAGAGTTCCGCTCATTCACATATTTGGAATGAACACAAGAATTGGGTATCCTGCTTCCTGTCCCAATTTGATAGAAACATGCCCACACTATTTCTTTTCTGTAGAGATTTCAACGGCTATCTGATAAAGGGCTCTACTACAGTTGACTTTATCTCATTGTGTGTATTTATATTGGTTCTAAGTTTCTAAGACATGCTAAATAATGCTATGATAATATTTTCAAGTAGATCATTTTAAATTTTGAGCATTTTCTTAAAACAGTCCTCTGGAATGAAATAAGTATATTAGGAAGGGGAGCAGGGCTTTGGTCACCCCTGCAAAGCTTGGCAAAACAGTTGTCATCATTTAGTTTTCTCCCACCAGCAACATATCAACGCTTGTCACATGCTTAAGAATGTCTTTGAAAAATGTCTTCTGATTTGATAGTCTTGAAAAGTTATTACTTTCATCCATGGTTCTTTTAACAGCTAATTAAGTGGAATTTTTCCCCTTATTTGTTAAGTTTTATTTACTCTCATGAATCATCCATTAATGTACCTTTCTTGTTTATGTGAGTGTGTCTTCTAAGATGTAGAAGCTTATAAAAATCTACAAGAACACACATACCTATTTGCCTTCACATTTATCCAATCTGTGTCTTACTTTTGTTATAAGAAAATTCAACTTCTGAACAGCTAAACCTCTTGGGCTTATTTTAAATTATTAAAATAAGTCTAGGAACATCTGCTTACTAGAGCAAATAGCTGGTAAAGCTAAGCCAGTATTATTAGGCTAAAGAATAACCCCAAGTGGCTGAGAAGTCTCAACATCTAAGCTTAAATGAGGCTTTATAAATAGAAAAGTCAAAGGGAAGGAAATTTTATATAGAAGATCTAGCCAAATTGCTGACAGGAATTCAGGTCTTGCCAAAAGGAAGCATTCAGAGGAGGATTACTAAGAATTCAAGGCAAATAAATGAACTTCTCAACTAAGTGATGGAGGAAAAAAGGAAGGAAAGCAGAAAAGAAGCATCCATTCTGATTAAGGAGATATAAAAAAATGAATGGGGAGACTGTCTGCAGGAACCACTAGTACTTTTCTTCCTGTTGAAACAGCTGCAGGAAAGCTCCAGAAATAAAATCTCAGGCCCTAATGTTCACTGGAGTATGGCAAGTCCTGATGTACCAGTTGATAACAGTCACTGCTCCCCCAGGGCTGTATCTCTGATAGTCCACCAATGAACTCCTTTGTCCTGACATTAGTCACTAATGATTACTACCTGTTGGTTGAAAGTTATGCTGTGCCAGGCACATTAACTCCTTTGGTCCTCCTGACTACTATCATTCCCATTGGACTAAGAATTAAGAAGGACTGGGGAAATTTCTTCAAACTCACTAAGTAAGAAGCAGAACAGCTGAATGTGAAGTGATATCTTATCACTTTCCAATTAACAAAAATGCTAGCAGAAGCCCTTGGCCAAGGAACAAATCAAATAATTGGCCCAAAGAGGCAATAACTCAGATCTCATTAAACTTTGTTCCATAATTAGCTTCAATTTTAGCCAATGTCCTGACCAGGCAACAGCCTTGCGTTGGTTAACTTAATTAACTCAGACCTGGCTGGGTTCTGAGCTGTGGTCATCCCCAAAGATTCCACCAATGCATGATTTCCTGGCCCCTCAGCAGCAATGCCAAGGTAGAATTTAAACTCTGTTATGCAGAACCCCAGGAAGCTTTGTATTTTTAATATTCCCTGGGGACTGTTAGTTCTCACCATCTAGAATTCTGATTCAATGGAACTAAAGTGAAGCCAGGGGATATGTATTTTTTAAACAATATCCCCAGGTGATTCTCAACATAGAAGAACTACTGGCTAGAAGTCATAAAGATATATAGGACTTATGTATTCAACTCCAGAAGTCAATGGCTTGACTATGGAAGTAGTCAGCCATTTCTCATGCCTGCTTGTATAAGAAGCCTTTTTAACCTTACTGCTTTAATTTTAGTTTAGAATTGAAAAAAATCCTAAATGATCTTATGTGCTACATATTACTACAAGCTGAATGACTTGCTTTTAGTTATAATAACAGCACATGCTGAATGAATACAACATCTAAAAACAAAAATTCCCAAAGGAAATTCTACTAGCTTAGTCATCTGCTATCTGAAGTTATCGGAGAAGAAACTAATGTTTATTTTCTTTTTTGTAATTTGCATGTAGTGTAAACAATGTTAATTTGGAGCTGGAAATACTAGTTAGAAACCCTTATGAAGCTTTCTCAAAGAAATTTTCATTGCTTGCAAGAGTAATTACTTTTATAAAACACTTAAGAGCTGATCTAAAATAGAGACATCTAATCAAACAGATAGACTTGGGTTTCAGTATCAGCTCTTACACTTCCTAGTTCTGTGACCTTGGGAATGTCCTTGAACCTTGGAGTCTCTATTTCCTCATTTAGTGAAATGGTGATGACAGTAACTAATCCCCAGAGTTTACAGAAGGTTAAGTAGATAATATATGACAGTTACCTACTGCATAGTTAGTACTTGATAGACGTTGACGGTTAATACATAGTCACACTTAATAGTCAGACTGGAAGGGAGGGATAAGAAGTCACTCAGGCAAAACTATACCTGGCAGAATGTCACTCAAGGGGTTAAAAAAAAAATGCATGGTGCGAACAATCAGCCAGGTGATTTTGAAAGGAAACTTGGATGCCCAGCATTGTGTTCAATGATATATAAATGCTAACGCTTGAACGATCTCAAATTAATTTATCAAACCCCATTTGGTGCTATTTTTAAGAAAGCCCAAAGATAATTGCCTTATGTGATACTAACATGGTAGCTGGGCCAGAAGTATGGTACTAGAATCAAGGACAAGGTAAGAAGTTAGAAGTGCCAACTACTGATCCAGGCTCAGATTCTCCATGTGTAAATACAGGGAAATGCATTTATGAAAAGCATGTTCCTAAACAAATCAATGTACTAGCAAGTTAATCAAAATACTTTCCTACAAGTATTATCTCCTTGACTCTTTAACACATGGAAGTATCTTGTACTGAGGAATCAATACAAGGATCAGAGAAACAAAGTGGTTTGTATGAGGTTACCCAGCAGGAAATGGAAGAAGTAGGTTTCAAACCCACATCTGTCCTACACCATTTCCAGCGCTTATCCTGATATTGAGTTAATGTTGCCTCTACTTCGTACATTATTCTTCTTCTTGGACCGCAGAATCAAATAGCTGAGGTTTAGAGGTGAGACAGGGAAGAAAAGGGTGGAACATTCCTACCTCAGATTTCTTACAGGCAAAGCCATATGGCCAGGCTTACCAGAAACAGCAAGTCCTCTTTGGAAAATTTCATACACTGTCTTGGCATCTGAGAAGTAGTAACGTATTAGTTCATTGCTCTTCTGGGAAGCACCCTTCCGCGCTCCTCCCTAAGACACAAGACTAAATTTAGGCCAAGTCCCAGTCTCTTTCCGAAAACCTTTATGGATTGAGCTGAAGAGAACATAAATGCTGATTTTTGAGGTCACAAATAATTTTAATAATTTTTTAATCTCAAAATTGTAGTATGTTCACATCACAGAAATTTCAGAAAATAAAATTATAAAGAGTACTTTAAAAATTTGACATGTAATTCTACCATCCAGAATTTGTCTTGATAGTATCCCCCCACATGTGCATGTGTGTGTATATACACACATGATTTACATATATATATATACATATACAGAGGAGAGTTAATATGTATAGATTTACATCTTTTAAAGCCATATCAAGTTTAAACATGTACTAAATGCATCATACTATATAGCCTAGACACTGCACAAATACTGTAGATGGGTATTAGGACAAAAAAGCTGACTTTGAGCACTTCATAAAGTTTTGGAATGTGGGTAGATAAGGAGGGAAAAACATGCACATATAATACTGTGATGTACATGCTGTAATAAAAATAAATCTATGATTTGGGAAATAAATGAAACAGCCAATTCTGTGTAAAGCAGAAAGGTTACAGTGAAGAAATAATATTTTAATAGAGACTTTGAAGATTAGAAGACATTTACCAAAAACATGTGGCTTGGGAAAGGTAGAGGAAAGAAAAAGGAAAAATAACCCAGGGTGAAAGAACAATGGAACAAAGGCATAAGGATGGAGCAAGGAATCATATGACGAGTCTAGTGTGAGGCCAGAGAGCCAGGTGTTCAGGAGAAAGGGGAAGCAGACAGGGACTCATCTAGTGATGTCAGCTGGAACTACAGGCTATGGGATGGATCCTGTAGCTGCACCAGGAGTTATAGGCATGGTCCAATCCTCATGATAGTTAGTGTAGAGAAGAACAGGCATCAATTAGCATTCGAAACTGTAAACTACTAGCCACTATGAGGACTCTAATAAAGTACAGATAACACATGAGGCTGTAACAAGGGATCTGATTTAGCTTGGAACATCAGGGAAGATTTCCATGAACTGCCACATTACAGCAAGATAACAAAAATTAATTCTTAGTCCAGGAGGAAGACAGGGTCTTTCTGTCTGTTTGCATGCATGAGAGAAGTAAGAAGGAAGAATCAACATGATCTAGAATCTTAAGGCAATTGGATGAGAAGAGATAGCTTTAACTGAGGCAGAACAGGAAAGAGTGTGTGTGTGAGTGTGTGTGTCTATGTGAGTGTGTGTGTGAGTGTGTGTGTGTCTATGTGTGTGTGTGTGAGTGAGTGTGTGTGAGTGTGTGTATATGTGAGTGTGTGTCTATGTGAGTGTGTGTGAGTGAGTGTGTGTGTATATGTGAGTGTGTGTGTGTATATGTGAGTGTGTGTGAGTGTGTGTGTTTATGTGAGTGTGAGTCTGTGTGAGTGTGTATATGTGAGTGTGTGTGTGAGTGTGTGTGTCTGAGTGAGTGTGTGTGTGTCTATGTGAGTGTGTATATGTGAGTGTGTGTGTCTGAGTGAGTGTGTGAGTGTGTATGTGTAGAAGATGGGCAATAAAGAGTCATGCAGAGCTTGAGTTACTTGAGCATCACTGAGGATAGAGCTGAGATTTGGGTGTCACAGCCTTTAGTGACATTTTCAAGTCATAGAAGAACAGATGTTGCCTTAGTCGTGAGACTACACTCTGTGGACTGAATTTGACTTGTCATCTGCTTTTATATATAAAGTTTTATTGGAACACAGTCATGCTCCTTTGCTCGCATATTGTCAGGAACTGTCATTCTACAACAGCAGCATTAAGTGGTTGCAATAGCGACCACATGGTCTATATGATGGTTTTATTTAGTTAGTTAGTTTTTGTTATTACTGAGCCTTGAACTCAGGGCCTCATGCTTGCTAGGCAGATGCTCTACCACTTGAGCGACTCTGTCAGCCATATGGTCCATAAAACTAAACTATTTACTGCTTGCCCCCTACAGAGTATGCCTGCCAACACTGCTTTAGACAAATCAAGAGCTGTTGAGAAGGAAATCCTAGGATGAGGAGAGAAAAGAACTTGGGTGACAAAGGAAGACTCCCTTGGGATTAGGAAGATACCTCATTGAGGAAAAGGAAAGGAGGAGTTTCAAGAAAGAAGTCTCATTGTCAGTTGGCAGGAAGGCTGAAGGAGGAGTCATTGAATTCAGAAGGTAGGTTGTGAATGAGGAGTATTCAGAGAGGGGAGTGACAAAAAGGTCAGACTCAGGGGGTTGAAGTTCTCAAGAAGGAAACAACACACAGACTACTCCTAAAGAGCTCTGGGGGCAGGGAAGAATTGAGAAGAGGGTAGCATGAAGATGGCAATGAAGAAATAGAACATGGAAATTTTGGAGGGTACTAAAGTTTTGAACTCAGGCCTCACAGCTAAGCATTCACTCTATCACTTGAGCCACTCAAGTCCTTTTTTGTGCTGGGTATTTTTGAGATAGGATCTTGTGGACTACTTTCCCCAGGCTGCCTTCAAACAGTGATCCTCCTGATCTCCTGACAGCCCCCCCAAATAGCTAAGATTATAGGCATGAGCCACCAGTGCTCAGCCCAGAACAGGAAAAGTTTGATAAAACAAAAGATGGTGGTGGGGTGGCAGAGAGTAGAGGGATCTTGAAATAAAATTCCTAAGTAGATTAAAGAAGAAAAAGGAATTCGCCTAATGGAATAAGAATATTTTGATAACTGAGAAGGAATAAAATGAAAATGGATGATTTTTTCATGGGGGCAGAACGAAGAAAACATGATAACATTCTTGGTGCTGTCAGAGATAGAGGAAGAAGCCAGTATTCTGCTGGAAACTAGGGAAATGAGCCTAGTTCAACTTGTACCGGTGTTAAGAATGAATGAATGTTCACTCAGAGCTATAACTGAACTGAAGAAAATGACTTATTTCCCTTTCTCAGACAAATGGTATTTCTATAAAAATATTTTCCTGCTCCCAAGTAACTGATTCTATCATGTAGGTTATGTGTGGCAAACTTTTTCTCTAAAGCAGCTAGACAGTGAATATTTTAGGCTTTATGGAACATACAAAATCTGTCTCCGCTTCTTTTTACTTACCCCTTTAAAAATGTAAGAATGATTCTTAGCTTACCAGCTGCACAAAAAAGTTAGGTTATGCCTAAGTAGTTTGCCAAGTCTTCATCTAGATTATCAGCATCCTAGGAACTAGCTGTGGTTTCATTTTGATACAAAGAAAAAGGTGCTCGTGAGAGAAATTTAAATTTGTAGATTGTCTATTGATTAGTAGCCTAAAAGGTTTAGGCTACACCCAATTCTATACCCATTCTACACCCAATCCCTTTCCTCTTGGTGAGTTATCCCCAGGTTTGGAGCTACAGTTTGTGTTCCGTCAAGGCTGACAAACTATAAGAAGGCTGGAAAATACCTCGATCCCCAAAGACTGACTGTTCAAGTCAATGAGAGGTAGGACTGGCTGAGGTCTGTTGATCAGCCACAGGAAGATGGCGGTTCCAAACGTCAGGAGGCAGATCAGTGCCGGGGTTGGGAGTGGGGAAAACAAGAAGTTAAAGATAAAAAGCATCTTTCTGAGTAGCAGCAGAAAATTCAGACCTTTAAAGAAAAAAAAAAGAAAAAGAAAAAATTAGAGGAACTGGGTGGTTTTTTTTTTTGGTCAATAGTTCGGTTTACAGAAGCCCACATACACACCAACACACACACACACACACACACACACACACACACACACACACACACATTCACATGCACACACACCCTCAAACCCTCCAAAGAGAGCTGGACCTCTCTAGCAGAATTTTTTCCACTGTTTACCTTAGCAATGGTGGAAATAATAGAATGCATTCTCCACCCTGGCCACTTGAGCGTCCTCACACAAGGCGGAAGGGATCAAAGGAGACAAGTTAATCATTTCCCAGACAATTTTGAGAACCAACTGCCTTTTTGTTTTGGGCTCACAGATTCTAGAGGAAGGTAGCTGAACCCAGCATAGACTGGCAGAGGAGAGTGCACCAGGCAGCTTCCCCCAGCTCAAACCAACCCTGAGGTCAGAGACTCTTCCTCCTGGATTTCCCTTGTATAAACCAAACTGAAGAAGAGACCTCTGGAGTGGGGATGTCACAGGTTTTAGAAATCAATCATTTTGCATGAAGAACATTTCCTGTTGGTAAGATATGCTTTGCTCATGGCTTTCTTTTTGGGGAGCATCAGGAAGGTCTCAGAACAGTAGAATTACAACTTGCTATTTCTAAAATCCTCTCCTCTAGGGAGCCCCCAAGGAATCATTTTTCCCTGAGGGAAACAGTAGCTAAGTACACAGAAAGGATGCTGGAGAATGGTCCAACACACAGTGAACACTCAGGATTTAGGTCAGAAATGGTAGGAAGGAACTATAGGAATGAAAGCTTTCCCAACCCAGTTTTTCTTACAGCTTCCAGCTTTGGGGAGGAACTAACTTTGGGGCAGCTCCTAGGAATCTACCTTTGCTGAAGCCATCTTTTTCAACTGTTATGTTGTAGCTTTCAGACTTGGTTAAGATAATAATAGTAGCCAAGGAGCACTGGCTTGCCTGGCCCTGGGCAGGACTGTTTACATGGCTCAGTTCATTTACCAGTCAGTGCCATGAAGTGGGATTTCCCAAATGAGAAACTGGAAGTTCCCAGTGGGTAAAGTGACTTGTCCAAGTTCACATGCTGTTTTGCATTGTTGTTATCTTATGATAGCCTATAAAACCACAGCTCATTTTTTTTCTTACTGATTCTAGTCACAGTGTTCAAGGGATCTGAATATGTCTGGCACCTTACAAATGAAGTGAAGTTCCAAGTTTGCACTCTTCAAAGCTCACTGCTCTCTTGACGGAACAATATCTCAGAGATGAGGCCAAACATTCCTACTCAAAATCAAAAGGGCAAAACAAGCCCAATAAAAAGTTTTGTCAGATTAAGATCATAATTGCCCTTAGAGCTTTGGGGAAGCTGCCATTGGTTGGCAGCTGGAACCTTCTTTATTAAAGGGCAACACTTCACTGGTCTAAGAAAGGCTGTAAGGTATAAGAATTTTGTGTGGGGGCAGGAACAGCCACAAGAAACCCTGAGTCACTCTTATCATTTTTCTGCTTGTTGATTGATCATTGACTGACTTTGGAATTGTCCCTTTCAATTTTATAGAGGAAATCTGGGTCTTCCAGAGACTGAAATGATAGTACCCAACTCCTGTTTCCTTCCACACTGCATATAGGGGAATTAAAAGAAAACAAAACAAAAACCAAAGCCAGGCCTCACAGGTGATGGTTGTGTAACAACACGGTGCTATTGTGATTTCGTGACAGGGTCCTGACAGCTGGGATTTTTGGAATCTGGTGGACCTGGACTTGTATGGTAAAGCAGCTCTCTAGGAGCCAAAAGCATTCAAGAACCAGCCACGCAGGACAGCATAGTTAGGTCAATCACTTGGGCTGGAAAGGGAGACCGCCCCAGGGAAAACTGTGACATTGGCAGAGCATGTAGCAGTGCCAATGGGGAGAAGTGTGCTCTGTGCTCACCTATCCTGCCTACCACCAACCCTTCCCCTTGGGCTGGGACACTGCCACTAGCCTGGCAGGATCTTATCATCTGGGCTTCTTCTCCCACCTGCAAACAAACAGATTCTTACCTGCACCTCTGTCAACTATTGAAACAAATTGTGGCACTGAGGACTTCTGCCCTCTCCTCTGATGGCAGAGTTACATTTTAATGGGTGTCTTTACAGTACTGTCTTCCAAGTAGGATCTAAAGGTGAAGTTTCTGTTCAGTGGCGGTGGCATGGGTGTAAGAGGGGAGGAGGCAGAGCAAATAGCCTTGGCAACCCAGTAGGAGAAAAGGGACAGAGAATCCTTGACTAGTCTCAAGGGGGCCATGTGCTGTCAACCCCAGCTGATTGTTAGCACATAGTCACGTGGGCTCAGGATCACCAGACTGGGAGACTTTCCCCTCTAGATAACCTAGACGACTGGACACTGCAACACTTCATTTTTAACTGGTGGCAAGTTTTAAGAGCTAGGAAATAAGAACATATCTGCTAAGTTAATTCGGACCAGGGTCTGACAATTCTTGGTTACTCCTTTTTGACAGATTTTGGTCATCCTGCCCACAAATGGAACGAGACTGAGTACTTCATTACAAATGAGGGAGAGATTTAGAAATTAGTCCACAGTTTCATGAGAATGAAGGACCTTGCCTATATTAGCAAGGGATTTTAGCTGCAGAAGATACTGAAGGATGTATTCATTTGTCAGCTCAAATAGCTTACTCTCTCAGTTTCTACTTCTGGCCAGGTACCCAGCTCAAGTAGACGCACAGAATTTCAGATGGTTTCTGCCTGACACTCCCACATTATTATTTTTATATTTACTTATTTCGTGGAACTAGGGTTTGAATTCAAGGCTTTGCATTCACAAAGAAGGTGCTCTACTGGCTGTACCATGCCTCCAGTCTATTTTGCTCTTGTTTTGGAGATGGAGTCTCATGAACTATTTGCTCTGGCTGGCCTCGAACCTCAATCTTCGCTATCTCAGACTCCCAAGTAGTCAAGATTACAGGTGTGAGCCACTGGGTGTCCAGCTCCCACCTTATATTTAAATTGAAATAAACATCACATAATAGAACCAACATTTTAGCCATTTTAAATGTACAATTTAGCAGTATTTACTATATGTTGTGCAACCATCACCTCTGATTAGTTCCCCCAAATTCCCAAATGAAGAATATTCCACACCCATTAAGGAGTAATGTCTCATTCCCTCCAGTCCCTAGTCTGTGCCTATAGATTTATCTGTTGTAAATATTTCATATAAACGGATTCAGATAATATGTAATCCTTCATGCCTGACTTATTTTATTTATCCGTTTTTAAGGATCATTATCCATGTTATACTATTTATCAGTAATTTATTCCTTTTCATGGCTGAATTCTATTCCATCTCATGGCAATACTTCATACTGTCTATCCATTCACTGTGAATGGGTCTATACCTATGAAAGGAATTACTGGGTCATATAATAATTTTATATTTAACTTTGAGGAACTGTTTTTCCATAGTGCCTTGTACCATTGTACATGCCAGCTGGCTAAGAGGGTTCTAACATCTTTATATGTTCACCAACAATGCTATTCTATTTTTGTAAGTAGCCATACCACTAGGTATGAAATGGTATCTCCTTGTGAGTTTGCTTTGCATTTCTCTAACGATAAGTGATATTGAGTATTATTTTATGTGTGTGTTGGTGATTGCTTTTCTCCCAAGACACGTCTGTTCAAGTTCTTTACCAATTTTTGTAAAAATTAGGTTGTTTGTCTTTTTATGATTGATTTGAAAGAGTTCTTTATATACTTTGGCTACTAGACCCTTACCAGCTATATGATTGCAATATTTTCTCCCATTCTGCAGCTTATCTTTTCACTGTCTTGATATTGTCATTTTAATGCACAACACACACACACACATTACTGAATGGGACACTCTGGCACCATTCTAATTGGTAGAATCTGCAAGCACCTCTACCTGTGCTCAGATAAACAAGGGAAAAAGCCACCACTCCACTTGTCACATGTCACAAATTACAATTCTGGTTTAGTCTCTCCACATAACCCCCTACAAGCAGTTGGTGTGATGGCATTTCCTCTTTCCTTCAATGTCACTCTTCATTGGGAAAAAATGGGGAAGGAAGAAGTGTGAAGGAAGAGCTTTGTGACTGGGAGTTCCAGTTCCAGGTCATGTACACACAGCTGAGGAAGCCACAGTACACAATACACATTAGCTTTCCAAGTGGAGAGCTCCCTCTGCTTTTTGACATGGTGTCTCTGTCCCATATGCCAGGATGACCATTTGCCAAGGTTCTCTCCTCCTTTACGGCATGGATGGCAGAGCCAAAGTCACTCATTTCTTGGCTCCTAATAGGTTTTACGTCCAAGCTGGCTGAAAGACACTTCCTACTTCATACCTCTTGCAAGCCTCCTGGACCAATTTTGATACCCCATATTTAACTTTGAGGTTTGCCCCTTTGTGGATTTGGAGCAGCATTCTTCAGTAAGCTCATTTTTTAAAACACAGTCCCTATAAGTCCCCTTTTTCTCTGCCATTTAAATTTTTGGTTAAGTCTGTTTATTGCTATGAATCTTTCAGGCTATCTTGGGTATAAAATAGTTTTCTCTTGATAGTCTTTCTTTTTTTTGTGGACTGGGGTTTGAACTCAGGGCCTACACCTTGAGCCACTCCACCAGCCCTTTTTTTTGTGATGGGTTTTTTTGAGATAGTGTCTCTCGAACTATTTGCCTGGGCTGGCTTTGGACCACAATACTCCTGATCTCTGCCTCCTGAATAGCTAGGATTTAGGCGTGAGCTTCCGACGCCTAGCAGTCTCTTTCTTTTAAGATTGTATTTTTGTACCAGCCTTGGGTTTGATCCCCAGTACTGCAAAATAATAGAAAAAATAAATAAGAGGTTGTATTCATGCTACATGAATTCCATTCAGAGCCTTACCTAAGTCCAGTCCCAGCTCAGAGCCTATGTATTTGCTCTTCCCTTTGCCTGGAACAAATTCCCCAGCTCTGATGTGTATTGCTTAGAGGTCAGGTCTCTCCTCAGAGGCTGGTTCCCTGATCACTCTATTTAATGCCATACTTTCCTCTCCAGTCATGGACCAGGCTTTCTCTCCCCGTGACACTGTTCACTGTGTGAAACAGTCCTGGTCCCTTATTATCCACTGTCCCTCCTGAACTGATGTTCTCTTTGGAACAGGGATTTATGTTTTGTTTGCTACTGTGCTTCCCATTCATACACTATGCTTAGCTCATAGTAAACTTTTGACTAGTGGATGTTGAATCAGTGAAGAGTTTTCTAGCTTAGAAATGTCTGCTCTAAATACTCTCAGTTAACCCATTTTTCCTTCTACCTCAAACTCCAAGGAAGAGGAAGGCCATCAAAAGTCACAGGAGCTGGCATGGTGGCATATACCATGGCACACTTGGGAGGCTAAGGCAGGGGGATTGTGAGTTTGAAACCAGCCTGGGCTACATAGTGAGTCCAAGGCCAGCCTGGGGTATACACAGTAAGACCCTGTCTCAAAACAAAAAAAGAAAAGAAAACAAAAGAAAAAAGTCAGGTTGGAGGTGTGGCTCAAGCAGTAGAACACTTGCCTAGCAAAGCCCAAAGCCCTGCAATCAAACCTCAAGTACCATCACACACACACACACACACACAAAAATCACTGTGGCCAATCTTGAGACTAGTTCTCTCAAATCAAAATTTTGCTAAGCTAATGAAATAGAAAGAGTATGTCAATAATGCAGATCAAAGCCCACTTGTCTTCTCCAGGCTTGGAAGAATTGAATGAAGTAATCCATATTGTTAAGTGGGCAGAAAATCTAGCCAAGAAATAAATCATTATTACCTCAGGTTTCTGGAATTGTAAAGAAAATAAGGCAAATTATTTTGCTTTTTATGACTAGAGAACTAATTCTTTTCTGTGTAATGATACTATATAGATTGTAATTATAAGCACTTTTTATATCTGCATTCTAGGAAGGGGCACAGGTTCATTTGGATTTAATTGGTTTCTCTGTCCTCTTGCATGTACAGGCTCATCCTGTAAAGACAGAAAGCTCATTAAAAGGAAGACCAGGGTCCCCAAGTTCTCACCCTCAACTAGTTAACACATTCTTCCGTAGAGTGATGTAGTTACTTCCAGAGACTAAGTCATTACAACTCATAATGACTCCATAGACATCAATGTGTTATTTAGGAGGTTTTGCATGAAAGTTCTGCCCTCTGGGCTGGGCTTTCCCTATTTAACTCAGCCTCCATTGTTATTTCCCTTAAATTTCTGCCACCCTCAACTTAGGAGGGCTCCAGCTCAGCTCTTTCACACAGTCCATATTTCTAAATAAAGCAAGGGCAAAAGGTTGACAGGACTTTGCCAGTGAGTAGCATCATGAGTGTATCTGGAGGATGTGCTAACCTTGACCTTGATGTGCAATGAAGGTGAGCCAGGTATGTGTTCTACTGCAAGATCCTTCACCTATTTCCCGCAGAGCCCTGTGGAGAAGAGCTTTTCCATCTTTTCTAACACCAATTTACTTCTTGTTATCACATGTAGGCTTCTTCTTCTAAGGAAATAAAAGACAACATGATTTGAGACAATGCCTATTAATAAAACTCAGAGAAATTGGGGAAAAACATTGTCCCCAGTGAGAAAAATCACAGATATTCAACAACATTCGATTAGCAATAAAAATTTATGCCTGGCACCAGTGGCTCTGTCTATAATCCTAGCTATTCAGGAGGAAGAGATCAGGAGGATCATGGTTTGAAGCCAGACAGGGCAAATAGTTCTCAAGATCCAACACAATACAGGACTGGTAGAGTGCCTCAAGTGGTAGATCACTGATGTAGTAAGCATGAAGCCCTGAGTTCAAACCCCAGTACTGCAAAAAAAAAAAAAAAAGAAAAAAAATATATATGTAGTCACATTTCCCAACTTAAAAAAAAAAAACAAGGCTCTGTAGTGTGGGCTCAGCCATGAGGTAGAAGGATCCCTTGAGCCCAGGAATTCCAGATGAGCCTGGGCAACATAGCAAGACCTCAAAACAAAACAAAACACACCTCAAAACAAAATAAAACAAGCAAACAAACAAACCAACTGAGAGAAGAAATCCTAAAAAACCTCTAAGGAAATAAGTGGCAATTAGTACTTTTTACTTTTATAAGTACTGAGATGAGTCTTTGAGGTGGTCAGATACCAAAATCAGTACCCAGAAATTCAGTGGCCTTCCTATATTTTATACAAATAGATAATTTGAAAATCATGAAAAAATATGCCATTCTCATGAGTAAGAATTTAAGGGTAAATGTAGAAAGTCTATATAAAAATGTTTAAGGCACATAAGAAGGCTTGAAATATGGAATGATATACCTAAAATAGTCAAGTCCTAACTTGACTAAATTGTTGATAGATTTTATGTAACACTAGTTAAGACCAGTAAGATTTTCTTGGGAAATAAAGAGCTAATTGTAAAGGATACCCAGAAAAAAAATAAAACTTAGAAGGGGGTCAAACAATTTTGAAAATAACAGAAATTGGAGAGGGTGCAAAGTAGTAAACATGACTACATATATTTTTACTAAACAGCTATAAAAGCTTTCTATTGGTATGAATAGACAAGTCTATTTAATAAAAATAAATCTGAAATACACCCAGTGCATGCTATAATCATGGACTAACTTGCATTTCAAGTCAAAATAGATTTTTTTCACTTACAATAAATGTATTGGAACAACTGGCTAGCCATTCAAAGAGAGAATATGTAAAGCTGATTATGCAAAAATAAGTTGGAGATGGATCAAAGACTTAAATATAAAATAATAAAAACCATATGGGGGAAAGTATGAGAGAAAATTTTTTATAATATTGGTATGGGAAGACACAAGATAGGCATATAACCTGAGATCTAGAAATGAAAATGATGGCAAGTTTGATTATATAAAAAAAATTTAAAACATTTCCTTCCAGAAAAAATAAAAGAGAGAAAGTCAAAGATAAACTGGGAAAAGTCTCAAACATCCCAAACAGGCAGAGCTAATTTCCTTAATAAGGAACACTTAGATGTAAACTAAAAATAAAACATCGCCCCATTTAAAGGGGGGGGTGGAGCAAAAGGCATGGCCAGAAAATAAGCAGCAAAACAAATCTTAGGTTGAATGTCTTTAGGGAAAGACATTCAACATTTATAGCTTTTAAAAATGCAAATTTAAAATGCCTTTACCCTACCAATTAGATAAACAGAGATGAAACAGTAGAACCGTGCAACTTGAGATGTTGATTTACTTTTTGTAAAATTGGTGCAACTCTTAGAGATGTGCCTATTGCCTTCTGCCACAATTTAAATGTATGTCCTCTGACCTAATGATTCTATCATCCATTTGTCCTGTAGAAACACATCAGCTTAATAAAGTACATCACAAACGGTGCATAAAATATTAAGGATTTGGGCTCTTGAGTAAAACTATTTGGTTTCAACCCTTGCTTGGCTATCCTCTTTGTGACTTAGGGCAATTAACCTACCCTCTGTGTAGCTTCTCATCTGTGAAGTGGCAATAACAGTATTTCCTTTATAAGGCCGTCACTCTGGTTTATATGTGTATGTATATAGTGCTTAGAACTATGCCTGCCATAGTCTTAGCTGCTATGTTCATCATCATTAAAGCTATAGGATTGTTTCAAATGCAAGAGTCCATGAAAACCTTCCAAGGTAGGTAGCCAAATAAATTATAGCACTTCCACATATTGGAACTCTTAGCAGATAGATCTGTGGGTACTGGTAGGAAAACAGCTCCATGATCTATTGCTAAGTAGGAAGAAAAAGCATGTGGACCAGTGTTTATGGTATGTTCTTAATTGTGATAAATTATATATGCATTTGTGTTTCTGAAAGGATAATCTTCATGGGAAAAGACAGATGGAAGAGGAGAAATTAGCAATGGATTTTCCACAAAGTTTTGGTATTTAGTCATTCAGTCAAAAGCTACTGGAGGGGGGAAATGGCCCAACCAATGTATGCACATATGAATAAATGAATAAAAAAAAGCTACTGGAGGGCTTCACGATGAATCGGGCATCACTCCTGGCAGTGAGGGTATAGCTGGACTCTTGCCCTCATGGGATGATTTCTACTGGAGAGTCTGACAACAAGTCTGAACAAGACTAGATTATTATAGTACTGTGGATCATTAACAACAAAATAGAGTATGGAAAGGGGACTGAAGGGTACAACATGAGGTGGGTGAGTTTTAATTAGGAAGGTTTGAGAAGGTCTCATGGAAGGTAGCACTTGGTAATGTGCATTGTTTAGTCTAAAATATGTATTTTGTTTTGTTTACAAACAATACTATATACAACTACTTATGACCCCAGGTCTGACTGCAGCAACTGATTTAGGAAGCTCCACACCCTTGGTTGGTGCATTGCACATGAATATACCTAAGAATACACCCAGGCTTGTTTCTACCAGGACAGCAATCTCACCACCAAAACACATTTTCCAGTCTTTTCCAGGGATCACATTGTGAAAAATGCATCTCAGCCACTGAGCAGTCAAGCCTGAACAGCAGCTATGGGGTTGGAACACATTTCATTCATTTCTCCACCAGATAAGAAACCAGAGCACAGGTGAAGTCTGAGTCACGATGCCAATGGGGTTATAAATGTGCATCTTTCAACATTTACTCCAAGTAGCTTAGAAGAGAGGCTGACATAAGAGCCTGATCTATGAACCTGTAGATAACTTCCCAGCCACTCACCAGTGCCTAGACACTCAGGCCACTGCCTCACATTAGCCATGTGACCAGTAATGAGGTACAGGTTCCTCTTCTCACCTGGGAGTCTGCTCTAGGGTGCTCAGAAGCACACACACTGGGAATATCTCCAGGCAGTTGGGAAATCCAGTCTCCACATGGACCATGAGGCAGAGCAGTGAGATAGCATTACCAAAGGGAGTCCAATTAAAACCCCAGGGAGTGGTTGAGTACTAATTTCTATACCATGGAAAGATTCAGTTTGGTTATTTAAATAATTAAAAGGAAAAAAGCAAAGTGACCTCAGTTTCCCACATCTCTCTCTTCATAGCCCAATTGTAGGCTGTATCTGACAGCCTACAAGTTGTAAGGCAGCTGGCAGACAAAGGGTGAGATTTGGGGTTGGGGTGGGTTCCCTAGCCACAAGCAAGCACACCATACATGAATCATTAGGGCTCTCAAGGAATCTTTGCTGCCCAATTGCACAGGAAAAGCAATGGGAACCGGAATTCAGGAGAGTTGTGAGAAATGAATCTTGGCAACCCTTGTCCACCTAATGGACATTTCTGGAACAACAGGCCTCTGTGCTGTGAACACTCCACATGAGATCATCCTAGCCTTTGGACTCTGGCACACCTGGCATGGACCCTGACGTATAGTGGGAATCCACTGTTACTGCACCATCTCCTGTTTTTGCTTGCCGTTGGCACAAGCTCAGAGAAAGGCAACCGGGGAGGGAGAGGAGTCTGTTGAAGGAAACCCATTGGAGAATTCAATCCCACAAAGAACGCCATGTGTTCCTATTCATGGAGGGGGTCAGAGTTGGCTGAGCAGGAATACACAGCCAGTGGCTTCACCCCCTGAGGGGCGACATTCAGCAACCCAACCTAAGTGAGGTCAGGGTTCACTGATAATGGAGGCACTTGGATATTTGAGCAGCTATTATGTGCCAGGCACATAATAAAGCCAGTTCCCTGGCATTGTCACAATGCTTTGAGACAAGTGCGCTCTGAGATGTACCTCAGCTTCACAGCCCTTGGTAGACAGAAGTTTGCAAATGGCAAAGGGTATGTTTATCCTCTGTACTTTTAACTTACTTACACACTAACTTTTAATAAGGAAAATGAAGATCTTAGACTTGTACCTGTCACTGTACCATATATCAAAGAGCAGATACTTAGTATATGTAGCTCCTGTCCTCTGGGGTCTTAAGAGTCCATCTAACAGGAAAAATTCTTGCAGAATGGTTCAGTATATGCGATGAGCTTATGACTTTGAAGAAAAGAGACTACTGTAGACTGGAGTCGATTAAGAGAGCTTAATGGAACAAGAGCCTCTAGGATGCATGATTCTTGCTTCCCTTTTTCCAGGGAAGATCAAAGATGATGATCCCATCAATGAAGTCTTCAGCTAATAAGATTCCAATTCTGATTCCAATGAGGGTCACTGTCACCAGACTATCTCAGTTGTTGTCTCTGTCTCCTATCCACCTTCTTCCTGGAGAGATCCATTAACACATTGAGTTGGATGGAACTTGCAGAAGGGCACAAGGGCCCAGATGTGGCTAGGGGCATTAATGATGGGAAAAGTTGGAGCTCGCTCTTTCCTTCCTTCCTTCCTTCCTTTCTTCCTTCTTCCCTCCCTCCCTCTCTTTCTCCCTTCCTCCCTCCCTCCCTTTCCCATCTCTTCCCCTCCCCTACTCTCTCCTCCTTTTCTTTTTCTTTTTTTTTTGGCAGTGCAGTATTTGAACACAGAGCCCTGTGATTGCTAGGTGGGTGCTCTACCACCTGAGCCACAACCCCAGACCTTTTTGCTTTTATAGGTTATTTTTCAGGTGGGGTCTGCATTTTGGCCTGGGGTCAGCCTTGGACCATGACCATCATTCTACCTATGACTTCCTGCATAGCTGAGATTATAATCTCAGGCCACCACACTCCAGTTTATTCATTGAGATGGGATCTTGCTAATTTTTGCCAGGGCTAGCCTCAACCCATGATCAACCTGATCTCTGCCTTCAGAGTAGCTGGCATTGCAGGTGTGAGCCACTGCACCTAGATGCTGTGAAGAGGTATTTCTATTATAATAGAGGTAGAGGGCCCATCTTTAATTGAAAGGAAAAAAGAAAAAGCCTCCAAGAAGGCTTGGTGCAGTCACTATAGCACTGGAGTCAATTTGGTTCACAAACACTGAGATACTTGAGATGGCCAGGTCTTGGCCAGTTGAGTGGAGTAGTATTTAAAAAGATACGCCTTGCTAAGTCAAATACCAAGGGCTTTTTAACTAAGTCCCTTAGTGATGGATAGTGGTGGATTCACCTATATGGTGGTAACAGGACGTGACAAATCCCACCAGCACTTAGGTAGGATGTAGCCAACCTTGATCTACCACTGTGCTTCAAATAAATCACTGCCCAACAGCCACACCCTGGGGAAAACCTTGTCAAGGTGAATGCCCTCAAAGGGCATCCTAAGCCTCTTGCTGACCAAGTGAATTATGAAAGAACAAAGTAAGGAGAACAAGTATCACAAGTCCACTGGATTTGATAAGAGGGTCTATAAAAGTAGATAGACTGGACAAAGTGCTAGGTCCCCATCACCCCTGCCAGGAAAAAGACTCGGTGATGCAAGAGGTTGTAAAAGAGGCCTTTCTGCTCTGGTTCCCTACAGAATCAGCCCTCATACTACCTGGCCAGACCACTGGTCAGGAGTCACCCCAGTCAAAGTACAAGCTGCAAGCTGTATTGCCAAAACTCTCATTTTCAGAGGCAAACTTTCAAGGCCCTTAGAGCAGATGCTAGAGCAGCAGCCCTACCACTTTCCAGATGAGTGGCCCTGGGGACAGCTATTTAATGTCACTCAGCATCAGTTTCCTTCTGCTGCACACAGAAAAAATACTGTGAGCAGCATCTGGTATACAGTCCAGCACATGTGAGGCCTTTAGTTAAGAGGAGTCTTCTTTTCCCTCCTTATCTATAACAGATCGGGATGTTCCAAAAGAAAGTATATGGTCATGGTCTTCAATCCAATTATGTGCAAAGATCTCAACAGCTCTTCATTTCTATTTAACCAGAGCACTTTTAATTGGAGGAGACATGGTCTATCTCTGACCAGGCCTCTGTTTCTTTCCCCACATCCTCCCACAAGCCATTCACAACCACACAGCTTTTAGATTAGAAGGACTCAAGAAGACTGAGAGCTCTGCAATGGTGGTACATGGCCTGTCCAACCATCTAAATTCATGAACTCATATACTCATTTACACACCAAGAATTGAGAAGCTAGGATGTGTCAGACACTGGACTAGGGGAAGAGCTAGTGAGAGTCTATTTCTGACCTAAGGATGCAAGAGGGGAGAAGGATACAGAGCGGAAAAGCAGACTTAAATGCATTTAGAGGAGACTGTGTAAGAGCCATGTTGGCTGAGGTCATAGCTGCTGGAGCCACAACACCTCTTCAGAGTATTGTCATAGTTAGGAGTCACTTCTGGCTGCATCTGACAGGGTTAGCACATTTGCAGGCCAGGCATATGAGACAGACACAGCAGGCAATGAATTCTTGGTTTCTTAAAAAAATTGCCAAATCCTGGGAAGATCATTTTTTTCTGTTTTTTTTTTTTTCGGGTGCAATTCACATAACAAAAAATTAGCCATTCCTCCCTCCCGCTTTGGCAATCTACTGCTATGTGGATTTGAAATGGGAGGATCTTCAAAAGATAAATTTCTTGCAGTTTCTGATTCTTTGGCTTATGCACTAAAGTAGACCCACCAGAAATTGAGGCACATATCACCTTTGGACTAAATGAGACAGGGTTCAGATTCCAGAGTCAATCTATTCATTGTGTTTAGTGTCATTATTTCTAAACCTTACTTTTCTATCAAATCAAGAATCTATTTCATAGGACTCTTTTGAACATCAAAAGGTAAAAGTCCCATAAAACACTAAGTATAGTGCAACAAATCATACTTGTCATACTTGTGGTTCTCAAAAATGTCAACCTGAAATACATGTGATAAATATGGGGACTCAAATGGGGTGTCCAGGTTACCATACACGTATATCTTTCTACAAATCTGAAGGAAGGCTAATCCTATATGTGAGTGGATGAATACATTTTTGGGGTTAGACTGCCTGCAGCTTTAATTCGATTTTGACAATTTGCTTGCTTTGTGATCTTGGGGAAGTTGCTTCTTACTTTCTCAACCATAAAATGGTGAAACAATGCACCTCAAAAGATTGTCTCAAGTCTGAATAGCTACTATGTGTGGATACTTCACTGGCTTCGTCTTCCCTCTCTCCATTCATAGTTTCCTGTTGTATTTGTGTTCTTACTATCTGTGTAACACAGGTATAAAATGGGAGAAAAGGACTGGCAGAGTGTGCTTAAGTGGTAGAGCACCTGCCTAACAAGCATGAGGCCCTGAGCTCAAACCCCAGTACCGCCAAAATAAATAAATGACTAAATAAATAAATAAATAGATAGATAAAATGGGAGAAAAGAGTCTCTAAGGTCAGGACCTAGCCACATGCTGGAAGAAGCATTCTGTTTAGTCTGGGTAGTAGTTTTTTAAAAAAATTAAATTTGAAAATTTTTTTCTGGGGCATGCCAACCCAGAATTTTGCTAGAATTCCCATTGTTAGCATTTCATTATATAAAATCTCCTTTACTTACCTATATCACTTACTTCTCTTACAAGAATTTGCTATTTATGACTCTTATTTAGGCTTTTGTCCCTTTTATTGAGCCAAGCACACAAGTGGTACCCACAAAATTTTATACCACATTTCTTCTAAGATGTATTCTGTATTGACCGGAAATACGTGTCACTTCAGGGGCTAAGGGGGAGCACCATAGAGTGATTCCATGATAGAATGTTTCTCTATTTGTATTTTTAAAAATAAGTATGTCTTTTATTTATTTATGGTGGTACTGGGCTTTGAACTCAGGCCTTCTTGTTTTTTAGCCAGGCGTTCTACCACTTAAGCCACTTTGCCACCCCTTATTTTAGTTAAGACTCTGAGAATAACAATCACCTATAAGTTGAAGTTTACTTTCAATACTGCCTTTCAGATAAGATCACCAAAAGAAAAAAAAAGGTTGATACCCATATGGAAGTTACCAAGTCCCAACTGTGGGGCCCCTTCTCAATGTTCACTCCCTCAAGGTCCTTCAAGGTCCTCTTAGGCTGAACCTGTGGCCCTATCTCTGAAAGTAAACCCAGCGTCATTCAGAACCATTCCGTCAGTCTCTCCATCTCATCACATTATCTGCTCTTACCATAAAGGGGAGTTAAAGTCCAGTAAAAACAGCCCATCACAGGGGCTATCCCAGACACTTGGCCCCAACAAAAGAGGTCTCTGGGGTAGTTCACATCCCCAGGAGAGGCAGGAGAAAGTGCCCTCCATGCCTCTAATTCATCCTTCCCCTTGCCCCTCCTGACACATGGGAGCTTAGAGGGAGTCCTTGGAGCCCTGGGGGGCAGAGAGAGCATGATATGCACGTGGGATACAGCGAGCTGTAAATTCCAAGCTGCTTTGCTGAAGTTGCGCATCAGGATGCCTCTGTCACAGGCTCACAACACCCCCTGGTAAGTAACACCACCCCGATGATGGTCCCTTACCCTGTGAGGGGGCCAAGTGCCTCGGTCTGTCCAGCAAATGCTTCCTGGCTCCAAGCTCTTCTTGGCACACACCAGCCCCTGTCACTCTTTCCTCACCCCTGGTTCAGCCAGGGACAGGGTGGCTTCTTCACAGCGTCCATGCAGGCAGGCAGCCTGGCTTAGAGTGTTCCCAGTTCTGCCCTGCTCTGAGCTGTCCCAAGTCAGGCCATGGCCCGGGGCTTTCTAACGTGCTCCTGCTTGGGGACTTCACTTCCTGGTTTTTCTTTCACAACTGAAAGTGGAAGTGTTCTGACCAGGAGGAGAGAAGCCGCCCAATCTACCCTGGCTGGTTTTCAAAGCCTTTAATCCTAGCCCCTGAGGGCTGAAACAAAAGTCAGCTTGCATCAGTCACTCCACCCGGCTGCCCCTTTGTTCCACTATCTCTCAACCAAGACAAAAGAAAAAAAAAACTCAAACTAAAACAACTTGAGGTGTCCCTCACACTCGTGTCAGAAAAGCGGAGGTGACGCTGCTCTTTGCTGGATTCACAGGACAGGAAAGTCCAGTGAGTGGGACCTCTGCCCATAGGACCATCCCCAGACTGTGGTCCTCTTCTTCAGGTAGCCTCTTTCTCCAGTCCTCAGAGATGCTTGCTTCAGTTCATAAAGCATTTCTCACAAATCCAACAGAATAAACAAGCAAGGTAGGAACGACAGGGGCAGTGAGCTATTAAGCTGACATAGTTCCTTCTCCTCAGACATGTCAGCTTGGCCTGCCCTCAAGTTTAATTTTAAAATGTATTTTGTGACCTCTCTACTCCCAAGTCTTACCAGGGTCTGTAGCAGTCTCATTTGATTTACTTAAGACTGGCCTCAGAGGGTGACTGGAGCTGCCATTCTCAGATTCAGAAGCAGAAAGAACATGTTCTCTGGGCTTTTCCCACCTCCCACTCCTCACCCCAACCTCATAGACACAGAGGAATTAAGCAATACTGTCCTCAGCCTTGATACCTCCAAGAAGGCTCACAGGAAGTTCAGTGTGAGCCTGGCTCTTCACAAAAGCTAGATTAGGATTCGTTCTCTTTGCAGAGAGGAGGTCCTTAGCCTGTAGCTGAAAAAGCCAGGGCCAGCTGTGCCACAGTCTCAGGCAATATCAGGGCTGAGTCCTTGGCCTTGAAGGAGCCCCTGTGGACATGGGAGAAGGACATCCTGCTGACATCCCATCATCCAAGCCTTCTCAGGGCTGGGGGAATCCTTGAATTTAGTTTCAGGAGCTCAGCTCCCCAAGAGATAACTTCCTCCAGAAAAGAAAATTAGGTGACAAAATGGATGTCAAGCCTCCCTCATTCAAATACTGTTTGGCTCTTTTCTGGGGACTTTCTATCTAACCAGAGGAAGGGCTCAGGGCTAGGAAAAGAGGAGGATTTATTTTATTTTAATTTTTTAAATTGATCTCCTTCATAATTGAATACTCAAGTTCAGAAAGGTCTGGGTCATTCTAAAATCTCATCAGAGTTGTGTTTCTATCTGATCCTTAAGAGTAGCATTCTTTCAAAGAATAAGAGAAGGTTTGGACAACACATAAGGAACAGGGTATAGAGATAGGGTGTTGATCAGGATTTAAATTCTGGCCATCCTACCTTCTAGCTGTGTAGCCCAGGTCATACTGTTTAATAGCCCAGAGATGCATTATTCATCTCTGGAATGAGAGGTGCCAATGAGCTAACACATGTCATCCCTTGTACAGCCCTGAACACCTAGCAGAATGTCTGCTGAGGATTTTTCTTTTCTGCCACCTGCTATTGGTGAGTGGCTGTTCTAACCAGACAGAAAATTCTGAATGGAAGATGAAGGAAACCCACATCCTGGCTTTGTCTTTAGCCTCTAAAGGTTTTAAGTCTGTTTTAGTGAAATTAATATCCTCTTACAATTTTTTTTCCTGCTAGCATTCAGGTGACTAGAATGTCTCCACCTCCCTTCCAATTGATTTTTTTTTCTTGCCTCCTACACAAGTCAGATGAGATTACTAGCCAACAAACGTAATTTCACATTATGTAAGAGCCTTAGGCTGAGAATAGACACCATATCCCACCTTCTTCCTCCACACCACCCCCATCCCCGCCACCTCATAGACATAGAGAGCAGGTAGGATTATTTCAGCTTACCTCGTAAGGACACGCTCACCTCCTGGGTCCAGGAGATACTTCACACATCCAGATATATTGGCTCAGCACCACAGTTAGTTGTCCCTGTTCTTTCCACACCTCTGGGACTAGCCACTGTGTCCTATCCTAAGAGTGTCCAGCCAGTTCCCCTGGAAACTTTGGACCTGTTGCAATAGAGGTACAAAGGTAGAAGTTACCTGTTCAAACACTCAGTCACCTCTGACAGAAGTAAAGAATTTGGCAAAAGGTTAAAACGAGACTGTTAGGCAATGGACTCAAGAGGGAAAAAATATAAGACAACACTCAGCTCTGAAAGCTATGGTTTAACAGGCGAGACTTTTATTAAACCCAAGCTTCAGGAGCAGGGGTGGGCATGGACAGGGCTTTGCATCTGCTTTTTTTTTTTTGGTACAATCTTTGGAACTGAGGTAGGAAGAGAAAAATCCAGACAATAAGATAGAAAGGTACTCCTTGAGTTTAGGGTGAGAAAAACTAGAGAAGCCACTCAAGTTGGCTCCAGCTGTTACTTTAACATTTGGACTACGTAGAAGTCTGCATTTGGCGACCAGCTTTCTCCTAGAGGGCCAGTGTCCCCTCCAGGATAACCAGATTGCTGAGTCAGCTGGAAATCTGGAGTATAGACTGAGAAAACCTAAACAGGTTATACGAAGAATGCAGAAACTCAGAAATGGCAGAGTGGCTTAAGTGGTAGAGTGCCTGCTAGCAAGCACAAGGCCCGAGTTCAAACCTCAGTACTGCCAAAAAAAAAAAAAAATCACAGAATGCAGAGACTCATAGGCTCTGTCTATACCACTCACATCAAGAAAGTCACCAGAGAAGAAGTGTGGCCTTCAGCTTGTCCTCCTTCTGTTCATGTGGAAGTCACTAATCACTATTCTTGATCCCAAATCTTTAAGAGTACAAGCCATCATCACTAAACAGGTGGAGGTAAGGCGAAGATGAGAGGCCCTGCAGACTGTGTGCAGGTGAGGCCAATGATGAGGTCTTTGTAGGTGAAAGAAGTTGCCTTAATCACATAACCCATCCCTGATGCTGGACCACAGATGACCATGGCACTGCCTTTGCCCCTTTATGGTTGATAAGTGTATGTTTAACCATCAGTAGACCTGCATTGCTTGAGCACCTTCTGTGTACCAGGCCTGCAGACATATGGGGGAGATGCTGCATTAGGTTCTGTCTTATTGTATTTGGTCAGGTGGTCAGTGTCAAATTCAGAAGGCAATACCACTTCCTGCTGACTCTTGTCAGAGTGACTAGCACATTAACATAGAGGTTTCTCCATTCTGATCTATGTCTTATGTGCACTGACCCTCAATGGTCACCTCTTGCTTCAGAGTCTGAGTCCTTTCTTAGTGCTACAAAGAAAAGGGCCTCTAACAAGTGACTAGAGAGGATACAGTTCAATGGGAACTGGGGGTGATTACTACTTGACAGGACCAATGCCAAGTTGTGTTAAGTAGTAACCTCCTGGACACCTGAAGCCACACTTGCCAGAGAGCAAGATATGTCAAGACAGTGGTTCCCAAACTCCAGTTAAGTGTCACAATCACCAGAGAACTTGTTACAACATTGTTTTGGGGGCCCATGCCAGAGTTTCTGATTTAGCATGCCTGAGTGAGGGGCATGAGAACCTGTATTCCTAACCAATGATGCCAAACAGGTGCTGCTGTTTGGGGGCCATACTGGGATCACTGTGGGAGAATCATTGCTTTAAACAGCCACCTGCCTTCAACAGACCCAGCTACTGAGTGTTAAAAGAGGGGTTGTGTTTGGAGTGGTCTGGGTATGGTGACCCCATAGTTAGGAAGACATCTTGACACAGGGTGGAAGTCATTACATGCTCTAGGAGAGATGGGCCATCAGACTGAGTTCCAGAGCAATGCTTTAGCACCAGCCTGAGGCATTGCCATTCACAGTTCAGTTCTCCTTTCCATAAATATAATTCCAAGTCACACAGCATCACAACTCAACAACCCAGAGGGCATGCATGTAGGGAGCATCACCTGACCTGACAACCTTCATCTTATTCTTAAGGCCACCTGAGACTTCAAGAGGGGGAGCAGCTGGCTAAGATGGTGCATTGGCTTAGTGAGAGTGCTTAAGTCCAGGACCCAGCCTCCAGTGCCTTAGCAGGCTATACTAGCTCTTGGTGAACTATTTGTCTCCTATGGCATTTCTCTTTAAAAACCATGTGTTACATAAGATGGTCTTGCAACACCCTCTGTTCCTTGCTCGTCTCCCACAGCTATATACATTTAGAATCCAATAATGAAAACATTCTCTTGAGACTTGGGCATTCTGAAACTCCTAAAAAGCACAAACCTTCATTTTATAGGTCATTCATAGGTGAGGTGCCTATGGTATGAGATGTCTGACCAATAGCTTCAGTTCTGACAGGATGTTGAACCTGCTTACTTTGCTGGGCCAGTATACAATCCCTGTTTTCTTAGTGACAAAGAAGCCATACACTCAATATGCAGAAGTTCTAGAATACCAGAGGCTAACATTCCAGAGCCATGTAACACAGCCTGGAAACAGCCAGGACACCTCTGAGGATGGAGGTCAGCAGAAACCAGGTTTTCCTCAAGTTTTGAAAGCAGAGAGCCAGTATAAGCAGGCCAACTTTACATAACACATAGTGTATTTATATAGCTCCTCTCAATTTATAGAACTCTTTTAGGCTGCCTTATAGCACACCTGTGAGATGTGAATGGGACAATACAAACATCCAAACTTTCAAAAAATAATACCATAAGCATGTTGGATAAGGGCAAAGATAAGGTGTGTGTGTGTGTGTGTGTGTGTGTGTGTGTGTACAGATATATTTTTAAGGGGGGACATGATATCTTCAGTAGCTGAAACATGTGGGGTATAGGGACATTTAATTAGAAAGGGTCTTAGGCTATCATGTCCTCTGATCTAAGTAAAACAGCATGGCCCAAGAGGAAAGAGAAGCAGAGTTCTGGAGGTGCAGGCTGAATCTATTCATGTCAACTCAGCACGATGGATCAGAAATGTGGTGTCCCTCCCAGAGTTAGTTGAACAGCAGGGCAGAAGTTGTGATGGCATGACTATACAGA